ATCTCTGGATAGCAATGGGATTGAAAAATCAGATTCTTTCTCTCAAACTATTCTGTTACAAAATGATATGGAAACACACTTTAAATATTTAGATAGCAGTAGAATACTTTCTCTTAAAATGTCCTCTTAAAAAATAATATGAAAGGTTGCTTAAATTTTGGTAAAATATTCAAAATCATTGCATAACAGCAAAATTGAGAAATCAGTTACTTTTTCTGAAAACGTTCTATTAGAAAATAATGTGGAAAACTGCTTGAGTCTTTGGATGGCAATAGGATAGAAAAGTCAGACATCTTCTCTTAAAGTGTACTGTTACAAAATAGCATGAAAAATTGCTTAAATTTTGTGTGTTAAATATTTAGATAGCAATAGAATACTTTCTCTTAAAATGTCTTCTTACAAAATGATATAGAAGATTGCTTAAATTTTGTTAAAGTATTCAAAATTTTTAGATAACAATAGAGAAATCAGATTTTTTTCTTAAAATATTCTGTTACAACTGAAGAATGCTTAGATAGTTCTTTGGATGGCAATAATATTAGGTGACAATAACATAAGAAATCAGACATCTTCTCTTAAACTGTTTTGTTTCAAAATAACATGAAAGATTGCTTAAATTTTGTTAAAACGAAAAATCTCTCTTTTGTCAAAAATCTTTGCATAGCGCTAGAATTAAGAAAAAAAGGAGGCATATGCCAGCTGTTAACTGTATCATGAATAATATGCGAATAGCGAACAAAACTCTACTATCTTGGAACATATCAGTTGTATTAATTGATAGTGCTTGATGCTTGGAGTTGTTTAGAAAACTTATGTTTTCAGAAACAAATCTGAACGCGCATACGTACATACATACCTACATATGTACGACAATAGCATTTACGTGAACTCAATCTGTCAGACGTATCTGTACGCCCACGGTAACAAAACAGTTGACCATTATATTTTACTCCCACGTAAAGATCAAAGTGACAACTGCAAACAGAATAGTTTTGCATCAATAGAATTGTTCTTCTGTCATACATTTCACGCCAAATGTTTTACTCTATTTCTCCCTCTCTTCTCGCATACTTAATTAAAGATACAATCCCATTAACATTAACCGGTGAATAGGTGAGAAAAAGGGTGTACCATGTAGCCATTTAACCAGGCCATTTCGTTCACGAAAGATTCTTTTGTTTCTATATACAGTTGATTTACAAAACATTGCGATTAACTTAAAAACATTATAATTAAGCGATGTTATTTTATTATTATTTCAGTTAGAATACACGTATACATATTTCTATATTTCTGCTTCAATTCAGGCAACTTTTACCTCACTGACCTGTACGCCACGGATGAGATTGAATTATGCGATCCAACTCCGGTTCTAAACTTGAACCGCAAAGAGGGCAAACGTCCGGCTGTCTTCTTACGGTTCAAGTAAGTCTCCGATGCCAGAACACTTTGCACCAACGTGATACGATGCGATTGAAATACCGAAATTCCGCGATTCCAGGGATAGCGAAAGCGGAGAAGTACGTGTCTATCCGGGCAAACTGCAGGTGTCAGAGTCATTCTGTATAGTACCTGTCACAGAGGCAACAACCGTTGCGGACTTGATCGAGCAAGCGCTTCAGAAGTTCGGTTTGCAAAATTTCACATCGGAAGATTACAGATGCAGCGAGATTCTTCTGGACCGCGGTGGTAGTTATCGATTGACAAATAAATTGCCAAAATTTGTAGACTCTGGTTTTGTTTTTTGTTTTTTTTTTTTTTTTTTTTTTCTAACATTTCAAAATTCCGTCCACTGCTCAGTCACTGAACGAGTTCTGGCTCGTGACGAGAAGCCATGGGACATCGTGAAGCAGCTGGGCAAAGATTCGATCAGGCAAATGGAGTTGATGCGATTTTACCTTCAGCTGAAGCAAGACCCCCATGGGCCCAATTTAGCTTTGTTCGTGGGCAATCTGCCACCAAATCTCTCCGAAAGGAGTTACGAAAACATGTTGACCGACTTCTTGGGCAAAGGTGACTCTTCCGGCTAACATCTTAACACTAAACGGTACCAAGCGGGGTCGAATGGCCCATTTTCAAAATTTACTTTAAAATCGTACATTCGTTGTTACTTCTTTCGCTAATCTGACTTTTTGTGAATTCTTGTATTATCTGATTGTTCAATTTCTCGTTTTCTGTTTTTCTCTCTTAGCTTATTTTTTCACCGAGAAAAATTCTTTGCATACCTTATG